TTGATGTTAAGAAGGCCTTTTTAAATGGGAACCTTAGTGAAGATATATATATGCAACAACCTGAAGGATTTGTTCTTCCGGGAAACGAGAAGAAAGTTTGTAAATTGATAAAGTCTCTTTATGGGCTCAAACAAGCACCTAAACAGTGGCATGAAAGGTTTGATAGTGTAATACTATCAAACGGGTTCGTACATAATAATGCAGACAAGTGCATTTACTCTAAATTTACAAAAGAATCTGGAGTAATAATTTGTTTATATGTCGATGACATGCTGATTTTTGGTACGAATCTACGAGGAATTATCGAGACCAAGAAGTATCTAACTTCAGTTTTTAAAATGAAAGATTTAAATGAAGTTGATATTATTTTGGGAATCAAGGTCAAAAGAGATAACAAGCGAATGACTTTGTCACAAGCACATTATATAGATAAAATCCTTACTAAATTCAGTCATTTAGGAATAAAGGAGTATAATACTCCTTATGATTCTTGTGTTAAGCTAACTGCAAATACTGGAAGAGCAGTAGCACAGTTGGAGTATGCAAGTGCGATAGGTAGCATGATGTATGCAATGCATTGCACTAGACCCGACATAGCATTTGTTGTTTGTAAACTTTCAAGGTTTACCAGTAATCCAGGTAATGATCATTGGAAAGCAATAAGTAGAGTACTTGGATATTTAAAATATACAAAGCACTTGGGCATTTGCTATAATGGTTTCCTTAATGTATTAGAGGGATATTCTGATGCAAGTTGGATTACAAGTGTTAATGATAATAAATCCACATCAGGATGGATATTTACTCTAGGCGGTGGAGCCATTAGTTGGGCATCCAAGAAACAAACATGTATTTCCCATTCTACTATGGAATTTGAATTCATTGCATTAGCAGCTGCTGGAAAAGAAGCAGAATGGCTGAGGAATATGTTACTTGATATAAAGTTGTGGCCACAACCTATGCCAGCCATTTCCATATTCTGTGATAGTGAGACTACAATGTGTGTTGCTCACAATAAAATATACAATAGGAAATCGAGACATATAAGCTTGAGACATGCTTATATAAGAGAATTAATTACAAATGGAGCTATAGCTATAATATATGTGAGATCAAATAAGAATTCGGCTGATCCACTTACGAAGCCATTGGGTAGCGATGTAGTACAACAAACTTGTGAAGGGATGGGGCTGAGACCCTTAAATTAAATGCAAGGAATGGGAACCCCACTTTGAGTTAGTATACACTCTAACAGTATAAGTTCAATGGGCAATAACAAGTTACTTGTATTGTTTAAGCACTGATCTCCTCTTTAGGAGCCCTAATTCTATTGTACTACCTACTGTTATGTGAGGAGTTAAGGAGTTGTTAAATGCTTGTTATAACAAGGGCATAAAGACAAACTCCAAAGTGCATACTGTTACATGAATAAGTTGATTAATCTTAATGGAATTATTAATGTCTGGAGTAACAAGGACATAGTAACTAATTCCACCTGTATGAATATTGAAGTGGTGCCGTTTCTAGCAAGATTTAAAGGGTTGATCTTGTAAATATTCATGAATTCAGAATGAGCACATGGCCGTAAACATGCTAAAGCGAATACTGGATTTTCTAAGCTACTAGATAACACTGTGTGTGTGGTACTTTCGGTTTTGGCACAAGGAGTTGTGGTTCAAATCTTAAGATACCAATAACTTCGTCAAAACTTTAAAATACTTACACTAAAGGAAAGTTCAAATCTGTATAAGATACTTTCTACTATTCACAAGTGTTATGAAGTGAAATAACAAACTAGTGGGGGATTGTAAGTTAGTTTGTTATTGACAAGTTGGAAGTGGGATTCTTCCCACATCGGAAGAAAGAAGTTCCCTTTGGAGCTTTTTAAGCACTTGTCCCTTTTATGTCTTTGATTTAGGACACATACTTTTAAGTGTGTGCAATTAAGTATACTATATATTTATATATTATATAATCAAAGACTTGGACTTGGGGCTTGGGCGCGGGCCGGGTCGAATCCTAAAGTTAATTATTTTATTTTGTGACAGAAAAGTCAAATTTATTTGAATTTTAAATTCAAAATTCGAATAAATAGTTATGTCTGTTTGTGAAACAAAACATCTTTTCTGAAAGGGTCTGTTGGTTGCCTATAAATACACAAGAATTCCAACGAAGTGGCATAGAAAATCACAAGTGTTATTGCAAGCTTTGTTGTATCCTGAAGAGAATCGTTTTGTATTTCCCTAAGTTAGTATACAGGCGATAACTCTTTAAGGACAGTCGATTTTCACGTCTCAAAGCCATTTTTGTTTATTATTTTCTAACATATATATCTATATATATGATTCTTTCCTTTCTATCACAAAAGATAGGTAATCATGATGGCCTCTTACATAAGCAAATCCAGAATTTTAGAGTCAGTAGGTTCAGAACGAGTAAAATCTTTTTATATCTTGTTTTGTATATGAATATATATTGTCCAAGTTGAAACCAAAGAATTTAGTTGAACCTACAGGACCCGCCTTAGATCGCCTCTGGCCCCTTATTATGGTGCCTATCCCTAAATATGAGGTGGGAGGGAGGAGTGATTTTTGAAACAAAAGAGTTAGGATGGATTGGATATTTTGCCAAGTAGTCTCAGTGACGGATTGGGAGGCTAACTTCAGTGTTCCTATCCTATTTTTGGAAATTCAGTAAGCCTGTTTTGGGTTCAAAAACATAAACAACTTAGAGCTTTTAAGGTATGGAGCCAAGCTAACGTCAGGCGACTATGGAATCAGTTATCTCCAGGTAGTAGAACAGCAGCACTAGACATATCCGTTTAGCCAGCAACAGACATTGTTTTATTAGACGGCACAAAAGGTGAGACAAGACATTCAACCTAAAAGTCTACTATAGAAGAAACATCGTCCTCCTTCACATAAATCTACAAGGAAGAAATTATCTAGTACGTACTTGCATTGAGTTACTAGACTACCCAAGATTAGGCATTTTTCTTGTTTTCTTCAATCCAACGCAATTATCTCAATCTTCCGGTAATTCAATCTTATTTCCATCATTCTCTTCAAATTTCTCCACGCCCATCTTTTTATCTGCCTCTCTTAGTACCCAAATAAATCTATGTTTGCTCTGTTCTAAACCAAGCGCGAGCTCATTCACTCACCTGCTCTTGTGAGAACTTAGTGTTTGTTCCAAATGATACGAATATTACTGAATTAACATCTTGCTTGTCGAGAAATTCTAGGCATTCATGACGATTTCTTTCACTAGATTCGTGTGATTCTAGCGGCATATGAAGTGGACCAACAGCTCACAACGGCTTCTTGTCTTTTTCATTATTGGCAAGTAATAAATCAAGGTACTTACCTTCCACTTCTCTATAGGAGTTCATGAATTCTCCGGAGTTTTGCGTCCATTCATGTGCCATTTTAACGAACAATGCCATATGAGGTCCGTTTGGTCATGATCATCATCAACAACAATGTGATCAAGACATTGTCGGAGCAAAGAGTATCTGATAAAAGCTGAATCGGAGTGGAAAATATAAGACTTGACTCATCCCCCATAAAATGCTTCATTGCATTGTCATGAATTATGACCAATCATTTTGCATTGGTGGAGAGTTCAAGGCATATTTTACAAATGGGATCTTCGAGTTTGTGTATCAACACAGCAATCGAAGGCACACCAGCTCCAGCACTTTCGATATCTTCTGTTTCTGAAGGAGAAGAAGGTACCAAAAGTTCATTGAAATGAATGTTCGTAGGCCTTGAGTTTCAAATCTTGGTTTTGATCAGCAAGGCTGAGGAAGTGTACTGGTATATATTGCGAGAGGCAATGAAACGAGCAAGAACGAAGTACTGATTGAGACGGCTATATTGAAGACATGGAATCATGGCCACAATCACTTCATTGGTAGCCATTGGAACAAAAGAAGAAAGACCGAGGAGAAATGAAAATTATTGTACAAGGAGCTTTGGCTTAACGATGGGAAATACCTTGTCGTATATGGTCAAGTGCCAACGATCCTTTTCATTTAATTTAATGTATACCAAACTTCTGCATTGTTAATTAATATTATGCATTGAGCCAAAATGCAAGTGCCCGCTATCGTGATAAACATGATGCCATATGCAGATCTGGGAAATAAAAACAAGAGACTCTACTGAAGATATTTCTTTTTTGACTATTCAATAGTTGAAGTTCATTGGCCCGATTAACTTTGCTTATATATATATATATATATATATATATATACACACACACACACACACACTCTGCATTAGCTAAAATGCCTGAAGCATGTCGCTTAAAGCCTTAAACAGCCGAAAAATGTTCTGAATAAAATTAACTCCGCAAAGATCATTGTATGGATTAGGCATTGGTGAATAGTTATAAGTGAAAGTACATGAATGATGTTATTTGTCCGTGTCTTTTAATGAAGTGAACAACATCTAATTGAGTTACTTATAATTGTCGGATGACATAATTCTCATGACAACTCCAGAAGAGATCTAGATAAAACTGTGACAACTCGAGAAGAGCTCTAGACAAAGCTGTCTCGGACTGCAAATTGAACATTTAACAAGCATATTTGTATTTACCATCAATCTGATTATACCTAAAAGGTTATGAGCCTAATAGACAATTCGTTTTCTTTTCTTTTTTATGTTTCCCCTTTTTTGCACACCTTTGAGACAGACTTATTAGCGTTTTCCCTAAAATTCCTAGCTTTAAGCTGGTTGAGTACAGTTTTGGGGCCAATAGTGCCTTTTGCTAAGGTGCACTTCTGAGTCTGCTTCTACTACTTTTGCATATCATAAGAAATAAATGTTACTGAAAACAAGACTATATATTTGAATAGAAAGAAAAACAGTACTAACAAAGTCTAAGAACACCCAAAAAACTCCAAAACATTAGAAAAAGAAAACAGATGGAGTATATAAAGAGAGAAAACAGTAAACTATACAGATGAACTATTTTCATCAGTGTGCCAATCCTATCCTATATGCTTTAGACTATCTCCTTTGCAGGCTTCCCTTGTGGCTTTGATTCTGCATCATCATCGGCCACGAACTTCTTCCAGTACCAATGCTCTCTCCAAACTTGAGACATCTCTTCAATTGGTATATTCTTTGTTTCGGGCACGTACAAGTAGACAAACACAGTCATTATTAACACAAACGCCCCAAAGAAGATAAATAGACCAAACTTCATCCCACATAGCATCTTCAAGAATATTTGTGCTACTCCGAATGTGAAAAACATGTTCATGGAGACCGTAACACATTGTGCTGCTGATCGAACTTCCAATGGAGATATCTCACTCGGAACCAACCATCCTAAAGGACCCCATGAATACGCAAAGTTAGCAACGAATACACAGATGCAGACAACCACTAAAGCTGCAAACCAAAGTGGCAAATCTGTTGCAGTCCCTGTTGTTCCGAATTTTGCCCCAATAAGAGCTGCGACTGCTGTTTGGAATATACACATGAAGATGCCACCCCAGAAGAAGAGTATTCTCCTCCCAAACTTATCCGTACAAAAGACTGAAATAAAAGTTGCACCCACGTTGACACCGCCAGTGATAGCAGCTGACATAAGCGAAGCGTTACTCTTAAACCCTAATGTTTGGAAAAGTACTGGAGCATAGAACATGACCACGTTAATTCCCGTAAGCTGCTGTAAAGATGGAATCAGAATTGACAAAACCAACTGCGGTCTGTACTTTCGGACGAATAAAAGATTATTCCATGGCCTTTCTACTTTCTTGGATGCTTCACTCGCCATAACAAGGTCATTAAATTCAGCATTTACGTTATCAACTCCTCTGATCTTTTTCAACAATTGTTCCGCCTCCTCTTTCTTTCCTCTGTCTATCAACGAACTCGGACTATCAGAGAGAAACATCGAGGAAACCAGGATGACTAGTGCTGGCACGGCTGCACCTCCTAAGCTAACCCTCCAACCCCAACCGCCAGAGATTTTGCTAGTTCCAAAGTTGACCAAATTCGCTATCAGAATCCCAATGGTGATGGCCATTTGGAATAACACGTTGAAAGTCCCTCTGTATTTGTAGGGAGCAACTTCTGACAAATAAATAGGGACAGATTGATTAGCAAATCCGACACCAATCCCCAGAAGAATACGACCCAAGATGAGCATGCTAATATGGATAGCAGCAGCGTTGAGGACGGCGCCTATCAAGAAAAAGAGACCTCCAAGGGCCATAGTAACTCTTCTGCCACGTTTTTTGCTAACATGAGAAGCAACAATGGACGCAAACAGGGCAGCCACGTAAAGAGAAGACGTGAAAAGGGTCAACAACTGGCTGTCGAACTTACAGTACTGGTTGGTAGAGGTGTTCAAAGCCTCTTTTTGGTAAACAGGCATGAAGAAGCGTTTGAGAAAAGGATCCATGGAAGTAACTCCACCTGAAATTCCAATGTCGTAGCCAAAGATCAACCCTCCCATGGCTGCCATGATACAAGTCATGGCTACGTACACTGTTAGCTTCCCTGGGTACTCATCTGGATTGTCTCCGCCACCGCCGGCGGGAATAAAGTTTCCACCAGCCATGAAGATATTGGATCAAAGAAAATAATATGCAGAACAAAGAAAGGAAGATTATTAAGATGGTGTCCTTAGGCGTGGAAAGAGAAGGGTATATATAGATGTCAAAATTAAAACCGAGATCGAATAGGTTTATAACTAGTCGGATTAGGATATCCTTTTATTCTTCTTTTGTAGCATTGTATTACATTATCCCGCTTATACACTTCTAAATTTAGTAGGATTATGTCTTCCTTTTCATGTCGTATTATGTAATGTGGTAATTAATATCTGTGTTATTATATAATAATCATGACAAGTTATGTATAAAGAAAACATATTTTAAAAAGTAAATTAGAATTCTAAACCAATTAAAAAGGACAAGTCATGCGAGATTTAGAATTACATTAGACTTCAAACATGATTACATGTAAGACGCGCGTCGCCCAATTTGATTTACCTTTGTAAGTGTTCTGATCAAATTTGAGTACATACATTTAGAGTATGTCTAAAATTTCCATAATAATTCCTATTATGGAAGGAATTATTGTTTTTCCTATTATGGAAAATTATTTACATCCCCCAAGTTTACTCTGAAAATCAAACTTATCCTCCAACTTTGAAAAATTATCATTTTCATCATTTCATCCTACGAAATTTCTATTTTACCCTTGATATTTTCAACTCTCCATGTATGTAACACTTTTTTTATATTATTTAGATATTTTTTAATGCAGGTATTTATTCATAAGTTAAAAATATTATATATTATATAATTTAATCTAAGTACACTAACATTATAAATAAAATAATCATATTATGAATTTGGTACAAAATGTATTGCTACTTTTTTATTATTATTATTATTATTGTTATTATTATTATTATTATTATTATTATTATATTATGTATATTAAAATGCATATAATGTATGTCGGTGTGTGTGTGTGAAATTTTAAGTTCCACTATTTTTACTATACTTTGTGTATATTAATTTTTGAGTTTTGATTGTTATTACTAGATTTTTTTCAAAAAAAAAAAAAGTTCATGCTAAGTGTAAATAGATATTTTTTGCAAATTTATTATAAAATTTACCTCGATTTTACACCCATTATTTTTTTATTACATGCATTGTATAATTTATAAAATTTTCATTCTCTTTTATTCTCAACTTTGTAAATTTGATTGCTATTAATAATATTACTGATACGAGTAAATTATTAATAGAATTTTTTTATTTTCTCATTTATTTCATTATTGAACATTATTAACTTATATGCTTGATTACCACTTCTCACTTTTTTTGGTTTCGATAAAAGCTTTTTTAATTTATCTATAGGTAAGTCGATACCATAAATTAAAAATAAAAAACTATCATTCGAATACAAATAAGAGAAAAAAATTATAGAGGGTAAAATTGGCATTTTAAGAAGTCACCTTTGATATAAGGAGTACAATGATAATTATTTAAAGTTGGATGATGAGTTTGATTTTTAAAGCAAACTTGGGGGATGTAACTTATTTTCACCCAATTCAAATGGAAGAGTGATATAAAATCAGACTATTTCCAGCATCATTATTCATCATATATATTCGATAAGTTATTTGTAGTGGTGAGAACTATGATATAGGAAAAAACACGATTTTAACATATAATTAATCACTAAATATAGCATGTAATTTGTATTGAAACTTAATTGCATAATTCACATAATCAAGATACATATATATATATATATATATATATATATATATATATATATATATATTTTCATTGTGAAAGTATAATTTTAAAAAAAAAAAATTATTCCTCACCTTATTTGTACTATCATCTGCAACATTTTTAATAAGTAATACAATCTTAATATTTTAATTGATGTTTTCCCCTTCCCTACTTCCTCAAAAAAAATAGTAGTAGTAGTAGTTTATTTTATATCTCAAGCATTAAGTTTATTAAAGGTATATTTTTCATTGGGATGATCTTTAATTTATTTATAATGATATTATTTAGTTAAGGAATATAAGGTTTTGTTTCGTAAGTTTTAAATCTTACTTGTGAAAGAAAGAAATATGTCCCAAAAGCTTATCCTCCTAATATGGACAGTTTTTTTTCTGAGACATAAGGTATCCATTCCATTTCATAATGTTTTACCGTATTTTATTAGGGGTGGGCATAAAAACCGATAAATTGGAAAACCCGACCGCACCAAACTAATTCGGTTCTTTGGTATTCGGTGCATTATTCAGTATTGGTATATTAATATTTCGGTACTTCAATTCGATCCTGGGTATTAAAGTATCGATACCGAACTTTTTAAGTTAATATCTGAATTGTTCTGAGTGCTCAAGCTTGCGGCTTCCCTTGATGTTGGTGTCACGACCCAAACTTCCCTCCGTTGGGTGTCGTGATGGCACCTAGTCTTAGGGACTAGGTAAACCTAACATTAATTGAAATACAACAATATATAACTAATATCTAACAATTTCGAAATAGAAGTCTCTATACGAATTTACTATCACAAAACCGGTAGTACAAGTCATAAACTCTATAGAGTTTGTTAGAACTTCTAAATACAATTGTTTTGAAATACGGATAAACAGTAAAAAAAACAACATTAGAAGGTGACTCCGAAGCCTGCGAACGCCACAACAGGTTTACCTTGAGTCTCCTCAGCAAAAGTTCGCACAACTAGCTAACGATCGACTGACTTCGAAATACCTGGATCTGCACAAAATTATGCAGAAGCGTAGTATGAGTACACCACAGCGGTACCCACTAAGAATAACCTCAGTGGAGTAGTGGCGAGGGGCACTCAAGACACCTACTGGACTAGATAACCTGGACAAGTATAAGTGTAGAAATAACAGAGTACGTTATATATATATAAAGACTACGCATAATGACAATAATAATACGGTAATTGCAGTAAGAAAAGGAAAGAACAACTAACAGCGGAACACCATAATAATGACACAGTAGAATGAGCGGAACACAGGTTAAATCCGATGATCACAGATAAAGGAAAGGCAAGTAGCAGCTCAACAAAGACGACCGTTTTCACTCCAGGTTTTATCCAATAATCTCCACGAGGTACCGAACCTCAGAATATTCACAATTCGCGGGTCTCAATTTCGGGACCCTAAACACTTGGCATCCTGTGCCCTCGTTACAAATTTATAATCGCACTGACGACTCACGTGCTAATAGAGCCATTCTCACATAGAAGGCAAGTAGACAGAAGTATGTAGAAATGATCAATAACATCAGAATCCATCTTCTTAAACCGTTAGAAGTGATTAACTACGTGTATGCTTGCGCCAGCGTGCTATCCTACGTACAGGGTAAGTACGCCACTACACAAATATCAACAACAACAATTTCCCCAGGCCATCACCAGTCATTATAAACAAATTTTCGACATAGCCCACCTTGTCTCGCCACGTGTGCAATAATAAAGTAAGTGCCCGCCTTGTCTCGCCACACGTGCATAGTAATACTCCCACCTTGTCTCGCCACATGCGCAAACACATAGATTTAGCCCGCATTGTCACGCCGCATGTGCATAATCAACAGTATAAATAGCATGGCAGAAACCTCGTGTAACACAACCCAACCACACCGCAGAAACCTCGTGCGTCACAACAGCAACCGCATGGCAGAAACCTCGTGCATCACAATACTGAGTACAACAGCCACAATGACAATAACACAAGAGTTCGGCAAGTAAATCAATTCAAGAACTTTCGATCACAAAGAATGGTAGAACTAGTTCACAAAGAATAACCACGAATAGAGAACATTAGTCATAATAAGAATAGCTCAACAAGGGAGAGATAATATGTAACAACGATCCCACAAAGTACAGTTCAACAACAAGGGAGATAACACAATTCAATAATTCCAACTAAGTATAAGTCAACTAAGATATAGGATACCTAAACTACTTTTAAGTTGAGCAATTATGGGAGAGATACAACTAATTCAATTAAAGGTAAGCAACGGAAAGATAATCATAACCTCAATTAAGGATGAACAATTATAGAAAAGATAATTATGCTATCAATTAAGGAGATGTGATTAGGGAGGGAGAGCATGGTAACAGAAGAGGTAACAACTTCAGTTAAGTCATATAAGAGTCAAATAGGCAATACGAATGGGTCATGAAGGCTTTAATTCCAATTAACATAGAGGTGAAACTAATAAATATGCAACCTAATTATAACCAAAACAACTTCATATTCAGTGAACATAAAGACCTTAAAGCCCTAAAAGGTCAACTTTTCACAAATAAGCCCGAGCACGTACTTGTCACCTCGCGTACATGGACTTTACATGATACAATTAGCATAGAAGACTCAAATCCTAAGGGGTAATTCCCTTACACGAAGTTAGGCAAGATACTTACCTCAAAAAGACAGACCCACTCTAAAAGAACCTCTCGAATGAAATAACCTTCGGACGGTTCAAATCTATCTAAAATAACTTCAAAGAACAAATAAAACTTATAAGAAACCATTCCGAGTAGTAAAGCTTCAATCTTTATCAAAAACTAAAAATTAACCCAAAAGTCGAGTTTCTGGGCCCGCACCTCGGACCCGATAAATTTTATAAAACCCGAACACCCATTTCGATACGAGTTCAGCCATACAAATTTTATCAAATTCCGATACCAATTCGTCCTTCAAATCACCATTTTACATTTTGAAGGTTTTCTTCGAAATCCCCATTTTTCCTCAACTCAAAACACCAATTATAAGATGAAATTAAAGATAGAATCATGGAATATAATAAATTCTAGGTGAAGAACACTTACTCCAATGATTGGCTTGAAAAACCCACAAAAGATCTCCCAAAACCGAGATCTAAAACTCAAAATATGGTGAAAACGGCCAAACCCTCGATATATAAGAATTTGCCTAGAACTTGCGGACAAGGAAGCGCATCTGCACTTTCGCATTTACGAGAAAACGTTCGCATCTGCGAACTCAACTAGCCAGGCCTGGATCCGTATCTATGGGATTTCAGTCGCACCAGTGACCTCGCAGA